CACGAGGGCACAAAAACGGAAACTTATCGTGCGATGGAGGGCTGGTCGGTGGGTGCGGCGGGGGTGTCCCCAGGGGCCAGGCCGGGCCGGCATCGGGTATTGGCTAAGTCATTCGTTACACGGGCCCCCGTCCGCTGGTCCGGCCCGGCCGCCGGTATCGCGCTGCAAAATAAATTGTAAATAACAGAACCCAATCAGGCGGCGCAGACGGCCGGGCCGGTCGGCCCCAGCACCAGACCAGGGCCCACCCAGGGACCCTAACGGACCGACGCCATGCTGCGCTGGGGCTCGAATTCAAACGAAACAAAAGTAGATGGGGAAAATAAAAAGAAGAAGAGGGAGGAAAAGGGGAATATGGATGAGAGGGATGGCAACGCCTACCGAGTCCTCACCCTCTGCTCCGCATACCGGCGTGTTTAACATTTACATGAGGTGGCAGGCGGGCAGACTGCGCGAATGCAAAAGCGCTGACTCGATTTAAATTTCCGGGCTGGTCGGCAAGGCTGGATCCGAATACCGGACCCGAACAACGCGGCCAGATTCAGATATCTACGCTGCGATGTGATATGTTTGATGAAATACCCCAGCCTCGGCCATGCCGAAGTCGCAGCTGTAACTGCAGCTTCATATTCCGAGCCCTGCAAACCCATGACCAAGGCCACTGAGGTTTCATGCTCGAGATAAGTTAGACATGTTTTCCCCGTCCAATCAAAGTAGGGACTTTGAGTCCTACCCTATTTCAGTGATATTTACAAAAAGTGTTACTGATCCGAGCCCTGTTCTTCGCTCTCACAAGGAAATGATGATATGTCTCCAGTTTATGTAGTAGTTGTAACAGCCAGAATTCTGATGCGATCCTAAATAAGACCAGAGAGGACTAGCTGTCCCCGTCATAGCCAGTATCATACTGTCAAAGTTTCATTGAAATGTTGTGGGCAGGAAACCTTGGAGGGGAAGTATACGACGTGATTGAGTCCAAGAGAGATTCGGAAATCAAAATGCAAAGTGGAGGAATTGGGTGATCAGTACGTGCAGCAACCACTCTGGTGAACCGACCAATTCGCGAGCATAAGCGAAATAATCCAAATAAAATTAAATGGAATCGATAGCTTGTGGACAGAACGAGAGGGGCCAAACATATAAAAATAAAGAGGCTAAAAAAAAGTGTCCCTGTTATTTAACATATTTTCAGGAGCGAGGTGACAGTATGATGCTGCTTCGGCACACCGCCCTGCTACCAACGTCGCGCTGTAACGTAATTGGAAACGATCAGTGATTAGTTTGGTTCATAATTAGAGGGGGATTAATGAATGCTTTACGTGCGCGATTGGTTGGCTCCTCGGACGCAGCAGGACCACAAGTTGGACCCACACCCACCCATGCCTCTCCGGAAAAATTATAGTTAATTAGAGGAAAATGCCGCCAAATCGTTCGGCAAACTGCCAAATTGGTCGTGTTACCGCCGGCACAGTCCTAATTGCCGGGGCCAAAGCGGGCACCGCCAAATAGGCAGGTCAGAGTGACAGGATCGCTGCCGCAGACGTGGGCATAATTTTTGTCGCCATACATATTACATCGATTCTGATGCGTATCTTCTTTTCCCTTATGCCTACGCACAAATCGATAGTTCTGGTGGTGCAATTTGCTGCGCCACTTTAAAGCACTTTTCTAGAAACCTCAAGGCAGATTTCACCACTACCCCTTCCTCCCCGCCTCCTCTCTCTATTAGGATGTTTTTATTGGTGCCGCCGATATTTTCCAACCCTTTCCTCAGATGCACAAATAACTTCGTGGAAACTAAGCGTTTATTTTCCAAGAGTACTATATTCCTGCTAGGCATATTAACACGATCAAGAGAGAGCTGCCCTGGACAGCGACGCGTAGGCTGCCCCCATAGAAACCGCGCTTCTTTGAGGAGAAAAAATTCAATTTGATGGAACGAAAATTTCGTGCAGAGGCAAGCCAAATTTCTTTTGGGTGAAAAAAATTTAAGACTACAATTGTTTTGTAAAACTGAAAAAATGTGGTTGAGATAAAGACAACTTTTCTCTGTTGTTGCGAAACTTTGATTGGCTAGGGCATCATGAATTTGTTCCCAGAAAAACCCTGTTTTCTGAGTGTGGGCTCGCGGTGGCCGCTAGCTCCGGTGCCAAGCAGTGGATAGAGCACGCGCCGTAATCCACTGCCTACAGCCCGTCGTTTGGTCACGTAGCGACACGTAGGCCCGGTCAGAGTTTGCCTACGTGCCCGCCGACCCTGCAAGCCCACCGCACTGCATGGCCACTATCAGCAAGGAGCAGCCAGGGCCGGGGCGCCCCGTGATAACTGTAAACCACACCCACTTGTAACTTATGCCACGCACCACACGCACCTGCAAGCGCATCCTGGAAATGACGGAATCTTACTCAACTAATATGTTCAAGTATGGTGTAAAATAAATGTATGCCGAAGATTTTAACTGAGTTGCGTCACGAAACACATAATTCAAGAAATTCTTCTAAACTAAAATCTCTCGATTCTTTCTCTTAGCTGACAGACACACCCATAGTCTTCGACCTAAATAACATTCTGGACCGGTAAAAACATTATCAGATGATCTGGAAAATTTCCCTAACTTTTTGAGGAGGAGACTTCCTTAATCGGAGGAGTTTTCCAAGGTTCTCCCTAAATTGTTGGAGCTTCTCAAAGTTTTCCCTTATTCCTCCCAAAATCAGTAATAGTTTTACAGCTAATTTCACATGCTTGCTTTATACTTCTAGCGCCAAGAGCGTAGAGCGTAACCTTTTAGAGCTTATGCCCCGCTTTATGCGTTTATGTTTGCTTACTTGGATCGACTTGGATGCTTCTTTTGACTGTAAATGACCTTCTGCCCTGCTTGCAGGCCTTTCCCTCGCCCGCGGGCAGGCACCAGTAGTGCTGTTTGAAGCCCCTCCCGTCCCTCACTTGGCTCGGCACGGCCCCTCCCTGGCGCCCCCCCC